TAGAGTCGAAGAACCTTTTCATGCGTTGCTGATAGGCTGCTATTCTTAGCTGAGCCTTGCTGTGATGTTCGTCAACTAGATCCAGACTTGCGCACATGAGCGCTTCATTATCGGCTTTTCTAAACAGGTCCCTCCGAAGTGAATCGGTTCCTACCTCCCTAGGGATCATCGCTTCGCAACCATATGCTAGCGAAAAAGGGGTTTCTGAGGTAGAGGTTCTCGGAGTTGTCCTGTATGCCCACAGGACTTCAGGAAGGTCGTTGGCATAATTTCCCTTGGCTGCTCCAAGCTTGGCCTTCAGGGTGTGCTTGATGGTTTTGTTGACAGCTTCAACTTGACCATTTGCTTGCGGTCTTGCGACTGAGGCAAACTTTTTGTAGATACCCAACTCGTCGCAAAACTGCTTGAATTCCTCGTTATCGAACTGCTTCCTATTATTAGATATGAGGGTATGAGGAATCCTATAGCGGCACACAATATTTTTGAAGACGAAGTCCTTGAGCTTTTTGGTGGTGATTGCGGCCAATGGCTCTGCTTCGACCCACTTAGTGAAGTAGTCTACCACAACCACCGCATACTTGACTCCCCTTTTACCAACTGGCATAGGACCAATGAGATCGATTCCCCACATGGAGAATGGCCAGGGGCTGGTCATGGTTATCAGCTGGTGGGAAAAAGCTCGCAGTATGTTCGCGAATCGTTGACATTTGTCACACTTTTTGACAAAGTTATAGGTGTCTTTCTGGATCAGGGGCCAGTAATATCCTTGACGAACAACTTTGTTGGCGAGAGATCATGCAACCGTGTGATTACCGCAGATCCCTTCATGTATCTCTCGCATGATGTAGTATGCTTCTTCGTCGGTTACACATTGGAGAAGGGGGGCGCTAAACCCTCGCCTATAAAGTTGGTCTCCTATTAGCGTGTAACGAGCAGCTCTTGTTCGCAGGGTCCTTGCTTCGACCTGGTCGTTGGGCAAGATCCCATCTCGGAGATACTGAATGATAGGGGTCATCCAGGAAATTGATTCTGCTGTATTCACGGCCTGTTCGGTCGAGCTGACACTGGGAGCCTCTATGAACCGAACAAGAATATTTTCTAGTGCATCTGAGTCTAGCAATGAGGCTATCTTTGCCAAGGCATCTGCCACAGAATTGCTTTCTTTAGGAATCTGTGTGATCGTGAAGTGCTTGAACGGCACGAGTGTGACCTTAGCTTTCTGCAGATAGCTGATCATGTTTTCTTCCTTGGCCTGGTATTCCCCCAAAATCTGGTTGACAACTAGCATGGAGTCGCTGTGGATTCTAATCGCAGTTGACGCCATTTCTCTGGCCAACCGTAACCTAGTGAGCAGAGCTTCATACTCAGCCTCATTATTGGTCGCTTTGAACCCCAACCGGAGGATGCCATGAATACAAGTTCCCTCGGGACTTAAGAGGAGAAGACTTGCCCCGACCCTTTTCCTGTTCAATGATCCGTCGATGTATAGGCTCCAGGTCAACAAATTCTGAATAGTTTCCTGGTTGACTTCGCTGGCTTGTTGCTCGGATTCCTCGGTCGGATGATATGAGAATTTTGAAATGAAATCAGCAACAACTTGCCCTTTGATAGTTGCTTTCGGTCTATATTGCAGATCGAACTGACTTAGTTCTATGGCCCATTTGAGCAATTTATCCAATGCCTTCGGTTTCTGGAGGACATGCTTGAGTGGGTAACTTGTCATTACATGGATTGTATGGGCGTGACAGTAAGGTCGCAACTTTCAGGAAGCGATCAGCAGGGCATAAGCTAATCGCTCCATTTTTGGATACCGCATCTCGGCATCCAGCAAACGCTTGCTCGCGTAATACACTGGCCATTGAACCTTGCTCTCATCCCGAACTAATGCTGCACTGACCGCGAGACGGACAAATACAGGAGAAAAATTTCTTGCGAGAGAGGCTTGGATAGAAGATGTGATTTTCCGAGGTGCTCTTTAATGCTCTGAAATGCTTGTTCGCACTCGGGAGTCCACTCAAACTTCTTATTGGCCCTGAGAATGTTGAAGAATGGCAAGCAGCGATCTGTTGCCCTCGATATGAAGCGACTAAGTGCCGCTATTCGCCCATTGAGAATTTGAACATGTTTTCAGTTGGTCGGGCTTTTCATGTCGAGGAGAGCTTGGATTTTCTTGGGGTTGATCTCTATTCCCCGCTGGTTAACCATGTACCCTAGGAATTTTCCTGAGGATACTCCGAATGAGCATTTGAAAGGATTGAGCTTCATTCTGTATTTCCGGAGGATGTCGAACATCTCAGCGAGATGTGCTATGTGATCAGAAGCCACATGTGACTTGACTAGCATGTCATAAACATAGACTTCTATTGACTTCCCGATCTGCTCAGAAAACATTCAGTTAACAAACCGCTGGTAAGTTGCACCAACATTCTTTAGGCCGAAAGGCATAACCCTATTGCAACACAACCCCTGATCTGTTACAAATGAGATATGCTCTTCGTCTGGCGCATACATCAGAATTTGATTGTATCCCGAGTATGCATCCATAAAACTCAGCAGCTCATGCCCAGAGGTGGCATCCATGAGCTGGTCGATCCTTGGTAGGGGAAAACTGTCATTTGGGCAGACTTTGTTGAGGTCGGTGAAGTCAACACAGGTCTGCCACTTGCTATTGGGCTTCTTTACTAGAACTGGGTTGGCAACCCAGCTCGGGTAAAGCGTTTCTCGGATGGACCCATTCTGAAGGAGGCTATCTACCTTGATTTTCAAGGTAGCATACCGCTCTGGATCTATCTCCTTTCTTTTTTGGCAGATCGGTTTGGCCTTACTATCAATGTTCAAAGCATGGCAAATGATGTTCGGCCTGATCCCGACCATATCAGCACGTGTCCATGCGAACACATCAATACTTTCTCTGAGGAAGTTGATCAGGTCGTTAGCGAGCTGGGGGTTGAGATTGCTTCCAATCCTCAACACTTCACTCGGCTCGCTCTGGTCGACTGACACTTCCGTTAGATCCTCAACTGGCCCACTGGCAGGGCATTCCTGGATATGAGGATCGATATTATCCTCGGTTGGGCCAGGCTGTGGTTCGATTCGACTGATCGCCATTGCCTGTTTGGGAATGCCACGCGAGATGGCTTTCCTCTTGCACGCCTTCTGCACTGCCTTCACATAACAATCGCGAGATGCGCACTGAGATCCACTTACTTCTCCCATCCTTGTCGGGGTGGGGAATTTCATCTTGAGATGGTGGATCGAAGTGACTGCTTTGAAGTTCCTCAGTAGAGGTCGCCCTAGAATGCCATTGAAAGCGGATGGGCAATCCACTACTAAGAATTTAGTTATTTTGGTCACCTCGTCAGAGTCACCCAACGTGACCGGAAGTGAGATCGTTCCTTTTGAGATCAGATGATCTCTTGTAAAACCATATAGGGGGATCGAGGCGGGCTTCAGGTCGGCCTCGTCTAATTTTATTCTCTCGAAAACTGGCTGGAACAGGATGTTCACAACGCTTCTGTTGTCCACCAACATTCTGTGGACGTCAAAGCACCCTATTTGGGGCTTGACGACGAGAGCATCATCATGGGGAGGATGCAATTGGACTGCGTCTTTTTTGAAGAAGGTGATTTCCTCCTCCTTGCGAACCTTTGGTGGTCGTTGCGTCGTGTTCATCACACTGATGGGGTCATGATGGGCTGCACGAGCATATCTTTCTTGGGCACCTCGCGAGTTTCCTCTGAGGTGTGGTCCTCCAAAGATTATTCCTACGCTATAGACACCCTTGCGATCACGACGCTTCTTACTCGGTTCCTCTTGATTTTTCTCTCTTACGGGAGCAGAGTCATCAACATACTATTTGAAATGCCCCTGCTTGATAAGATTTTCAATTGCCTACTTGAAAGCTCGACACTCATCGGTGTGATGCCTATTGTCCCTATGATAACGACATTATTTTTTACTATTTCTGGATGAGGAGGGACCTTTCATGGGCTCAGGCTCTCCGAGCAGACCGACCTTTTCTGATTTATCAAGAATGGCCGAAACAGATGCATTCAAAGGGGTATACTGAGTCCTGTCGTGATCGCGACGAGGAACTGAAGCATAAGACTTCTTGGGCTTGAACCGAGGTTTCTTTCCTTTTCGTTGATCGTCATTAGCCCATCTGCAATCAACTCTCCTATTTTTCCCCTGACTTGGTGCATTGCCAGAAGTGCCAGAGTCGTGGCGGTGGAGCGCCGCCACGAAGCTCTCAATACGGAGGTATATCTCCGTAAGGTTGTAAAAGCGAGTGAGGGAAACATTGTCCTCTGATTGCAGCTCCTTCCATAGGTCTGTCTGTGGACGAACTCCCGTTATGATGAGAGTCCGAACGGACTCTTTGGAAGTGTGAGCTACTTTATGGAGCTCTCTGTGGAACCTATCGATGTAAGATTGGAGAGATTCATCCCTCTCTTACCTTATGTTGCTGAGGTAGCTCAAAGGCATTGAGAACTTCCTGTTTGCTTGGAAGTGTCTCAAGAATGTCGAGTTCATCTGATTCCACAAGCTGATTGATCCCGTCGGGAGCGACCTGAACCATCGCTTGGCATGAGACGTAAGAGTCATTGCCAAGCATCGACATTTTGCCAAATCAGAAACTTGATAAAGTTCCATCAGGTCGTTGAATTCGCATAAATGATCCTGCGGATCAGAATTTTCATCGAACGCCAGCATATCGGGTATTCTGAATCTGGACGGGAGAGGGGCGGCTAATACAGCCAGAGAAAAGGGAGGCACTTCTGCGACCTGCCCTTGCTCATTTCGTTGAGCTTTTAGCTGATCCAGAGCTCGCTGTAGCTCTTCAATCTGAGGCAACAAAGCCATCTGGGGATTGCTTTCCCCCATGTGAGTTCGAGCCTCGCGATTGCGGTTGAGGAAATTTCGGAGGTCAGATTCCTCCTCGCCTCGGTCGGCAATTCCGGTCGCTCTCGATACATACTAGCTAAAGCCGTGTGATAGCGATGAATGGTCCGGGGAACCTTCCCGACCTTCGCGGTGGTACGAACCGACCTACGGATGGTAGGAATTTCCCACGCGATGACGATCAGGGTCGTCATTCTGGCGGTGATGAGAATCGCCCTGCCTCGTACTTTTGTGGGAGTGCTCGTGCGATGTGGCATGGGACAACTTGGGATGTGACCTGTCACCGAGTCTTTGTGCCATGGGTATTCTACCCGGGGTGCGGTTGGTGTTCGTTGGTTCCTCGGGTCCTTTAGGTCCGCTGTTTGCAGCTGTTTTCCCTTCCTTTGACGCGCTGTAGTGCACGTGGCACGGGTTATTGCCCTTTTTCGTGCATTCATGCGACCTGCAGGAGTTTTAGGCGGTGGTACTGCCTCATTTGATTCGGATGGTGCAACCCGATCCAAACGGTCCAACATTTGGTTAACAGTTTGGAGAGTATTGTTGAACCTCTCCAGGTAGCTCATGACGGTTGGGTCAAGCCGTGAGCTTGAAGGAATATCCCCTATGAGAGCTTGCGGGACTGGGGGCACTTCGGAAGAAGTGTCCTCTTGCGCCTGGGGAATTTCTCCCTCATCACGGTTGGTATAGACGTAAACATTCTACACCATATATGTTTGATATAGACGAACAAGAACTATATGTTTAATAAAAATATAATAACGGTCATGGTCAACTGAACGAATCGTACACCCTATATGTTAAGAGTTTGAGTAAGAAAATGGCTTCAAAGTTAAGATATGGATAAAGAAGAAGACGGTGAAATTTTTAGAGCATTGATAAATATTACAATCTTTTGAGATTCTTCTCGGTCAGGAGTAAACGAAGTTTGAATGACTAATCAACAGATTGTTTGTGCATATGGTTTTGCACAGTTACAGCTCCCTACGATTCGTTCAATAAAGAATACTTTATTGCCAACAACTAACAAAAATAATAGAATAACAATAGATCTTTCAGTTTTATGTACGGTGCTGATCGACAAATACTGAAGTGTTATTTTCACATTCTATTGAAATGAAAAAAATAATTAATCATAATAAATATTAAATAAAAAAGGACTAACAACAGTAATATAATAAGTGTAGATTAAAGGTGGAACAAATGGGCCGTGTTAGGCGGGTCAACCTTAACCCGGCCCGCAATGAAGCGGGTGGAACCCGGCAGCAACCCCTGGGTGGGCTGGGTTGCAAAATGGCAACCCGCAACCCAGCGTGTTGCTGTTTTGTCTCTTTTAAAAGAGACCCGCCAACTCGCCGGGTTGGCTGTTGTCAACCCAGTGGGTTGGCCGAAAAAAAATATAAAATTTAATTTTTTTTTCAAATTACCCCTTTACCCTTGAAATATAGCCGTTGGAGGGGTCTTTTTCGTCATTTTTCTTTCCCATTTTTTTTCTATAAATTGGCCCTAAACTCTCACATTTTTCTCACAACTCAAATTCTCTCATTCTCTCATATTCTCTAATCTCTAATCTCTAATCTCTCAATTATTCATTTATTCTCTTAATCTCTTTGTTATCAATTTGCTCGTATTTTAATTTTTATTAGTTTTTGCAATTTTTAATTCATATTTCCAATTTTCCAAATTCCAAATTCCATATTCCAATTCTCTTTCTTTAATTTTTATTTCTTCTACATCAAATTTTTTTTTTCAATTACAATGATGAAGGAAACTACTATCCTAGTCCTAGTCCCGCTGATTTTACTAACATAAATGCAGGAGGAGATTCAAATAGTCCCGCTTTCCCATTCTCAGAATCCGATACACCTCAAAATATGCCCCCGATTCCAACAGCTCCCGGTGGTTCTAGAAGTCGTCCTCGTAATCGTCGTGCTCGTCCAACTTCATCTCAAGCTGAGGCGGGATCATCAACTGCCGTCGAAAGCGAAGACAGACACACATCAGACGTTTGGGCGCATTTCGACAAGTTTTACGAGACAGAAAATGGCGTTCAAGTCAAGAAAGCGAGATGCAAATACTGTGGAAATATTTATAAAGCTGATTCAGGTAATGGTACTAGTACTTTAAAAAGGCATGCTAATAAACATATTAATCAACATGGAAATAGAGAAAGCAATCAAACTCAAATAACTAATATGGGTACTACTTGGCGTTATAATTCTGATGTATATAGGGAACAGTTAGCTTTATATATTGCTGCATCTGATCAACCTATTAATATGGCAGAAGATAAATATTTTGAAAGATTTGTTCAAAATTCATTTTTTCCAGGATTTAAAAGTTATTCTAAAACTGCAACTAGAAATGATTTAATAAAATTGTTTAAAAAAATGAAATTAGAATTAAAAAATAAATTTCATACTTGTCATATTAGTGTGGCTTTAACTGCTGATATTTGGAGTGGTAGAGCTAAACAAGATTATATTTGTGTGACTAGTCATTATTTTGATAATGAATTTAAATTAAATAAATCTTTATTAGGATTTAGATTAATGGATGTGGATCATAGTGGTTTAGAAATCTATAATAAAATTATTGAAGTTTTAGAAGATTATGATATTATTGATAAAGTGATAAGTTTAACTTTAGATAATGCAAGTTCTAATAGTAAAGCTATAGAATTTTTTCAAAATAATTATCTTTTATATAATAATTTGAAGTTTTTTCACCAACGTTGTGCATGTCATGTTATTAATTTAATTGTGAAAAGTGGTATGAAAACAATTAAAGAAAATATTAATAGAATTAGAGATTGTTTAGCTTGGATTACTAGTAGTAATAAAAGAAATGTTGAATTTCAAGACGCCTGTATAAAATCAAATATGTCTCCTAGAACTTTTGCATTAGACATGCCTGTTAGATGGAATAGTACTTATTTAATGTTTGATTCATGTTTAGCTTATGCTAATATAATTAGTTATTTTGTAGCAAATAATAGAGGTCTTTATTATTTGGTAGAAAATGATTGGCAAATAGCTAAAGTATTTCATTCTTTTCTTAAAACTTTTTACCAATCCACTTTACAACTTTCTGGTGTGTATTATCCTACTAGTCCATTGGTAATACATACAATTATAAAAATTTCCGAGTTATTTATAAAAAACAAAGACAATGTAATTTTAAATGCACTAATAAAGGCAATGGAGGTTTTTTTTTTTTAAAATATCGGGAACCCATTCATTTTCTTTATTGTTTAGGTGCTATATTTAATCCTAGAATTAAATTAGCAAGTTTAGAAAATGGTTTTGACAATTTATGTGAAAATTTACAAACCGAAGTATATGCCCATCAAATAGGAGAGGTAAAAAATACACTTTTCGAAGTATATTTCCAATATGAAAACAGGTATGGGAACCCGGAAAGAGGCGAAACATCCAGGGAAGCTGCATCAGAAGAAACAAATGAAGACTTCTACTCTTGGGGTGCACTGAATAGGCCGAAGAGGACCCGAATCCGAAGCACAGCCTCCTCTTCAGAAGCTCCACCAACAACAACAACTAATGTATTGTCTTCCATGCAGTCGCAGAGTAATGAGCTTCAACAATATTTGGCAACCCCTGAAATGTTACCAGTAGATCCACAACAGAGAGCCAACGTTGATCTCTTAGACTATTGGAGAGCTAGAAAATGTATTTTTTCGGTATTATCAAGACTTGTCTTTGATGTTTTCGCTGTTCCTATCTCAACCGTCTCATCCGAACAAACATTTAGTGCAAGTGGAAAAATTTTAAATGAAAGGAGGACTAAACTTTCACAAAAAATGACTGAAGTTCTCACATGTCTTCGAGATTGGGAACGGTCACGCCATCAAGGTCAATACGAGGTTGTCGACAATACTTTAATAGAATCATTTCAATTTTGTAATATAGATGGTACGGATGAAGAAGGTCCTAGTAAACCCCAAAATTAGTTGTTTTGTAAATTGTAAATTGTAACTTGTAAATTAATTGTTAATTATTGCACTCTTTTTTCCTTACCAAGTTTTTGTCCTATTGGGTTTTTCTTGGCGGGGTTTTTAACGAGGCAATAATTATTGTAATTTCTTATTTTATTTTTTAATAAATGAATAAATTTAATTATTCTTATATTACAATTTTAATGTATTAAAATTGAATTAATATTTGGAATGTTAACAAAAAAAAAAATAATTTAATTTAATTATTGATATTTGAAAAGAAATTAACAATTAACTAAAAAAAATTACATTTATTCATTTATAAATTGTTAATTATTCATTTGAAAAGTTAATATATTAAACATTTAAACTTAAACAAAACAAAATTAAAAAAAAAAGAAAAAAAATCAAAAAGAGGGTTAACCCGGTCCAACCCGCGGCCTAACCCGGCGGGTTAGGGTTGGCGGTCCGGGTTGGGCCAGCCAATTCCCTAACATTGGCGGGCCTAACCCGGCCTACCAATGTTATCGGGCGGGTTAGGACCGACCCGCCACTAAAAGCAACCCGTCGCGGGTCGGGTCGGGTCGGGTCGCTTTTCCACCTCTAGTGTAGATAATTTAATTTTATGTACAGAGTTGTAACTCTGCAAAACCATTTGCACAAACAATCTGTTCAGTAGTCAAAGGAACTTCGTTTACACAGGGTCACTTAAGCGATTTCTATCGCTTAAGCGATCAAGTCTGACGTAGAATAAATCTGCCAGATGCACGATCGCTTAAGCGATTCTTTGCTTTTACAAAGTGTTGCTTAAGCGATCAAGTCCGAGGCAGAATCAATATTTGGCCAGGTGCATGATCGCTTAAGCGATTCTTCTCTTTTTCACTTGGTCGATTAAGCGATCGATCATGTGATGGGCAGAATCAATATCTGCCCAGGTGCACGATCGCCTAAACGATCTATGATATCGCTTAAGCGATCCTTTATGAAAAACCCTTTGTCGCTTAAGTGATATACTTAGTCGCTTAAGCGATCATAGGCAATACACACTTTTCCATCTTTTCTCCTGAATTTTGACAAACTAAAATTACCAACACATATTAATTCCATATTTTCTCCTTAATTTAACAACCTAATTCCAAACTAAAATCACCAACAAATATTTAGGCCATGTAACAAGAATACTAAATATAAAGAATGATTTATTCAAGGTAACAATAAAATTTAAAACATCAATAATTGAAAACAATAACTCATTTATGGTTGGCCTTTTCAACTCCCTTAATTTCATCCTTCTTCGAACCTAATTTTCTGGATCTGCATGTGATTACTTCTGGCAATTGCTTCTCTTGTGGCCAGGTTGCTTGCAAATTGAGCACTTTTTCATCTTCCGGGGAACCTCAGAGGCTGATGGAATACGCTTAAATCTTTTTCTCCCCTTTGCTGTCTTCTTGAATGGTGGATGGATAATAATGTCAGCCAACTCTGGTGGCACTACCCACTGCTCTTCTGAAGGAACTGGATATATCGTTTCTGAATAAGCTAGCATGTAGTGATTTTCCATATAGAGAGGGAAGCAAAGTTCCATGTAAATTCTTGAACCAAAATCTGGCTTCTGTTGGTGTTTCAGTGCTGCTAGTGCATAAGGATAAGGTAAACGTTGAATGTCAAGCACTTTACAGCTGCAAGTTTTACTAACAAGGTTAACTAGGGCATCTGGACCATAGCCGTGCATAGTGAACTCTTGAGCATTAAGAGGATAGGCAAACAGTGTATTTGACAGTTTCATACATTCTCGCAATAATTTTTCAGCTAACGGAACAAGGGTTGTAGTAAAATTATCTAACTTCGTACAACGCTCATGGAACCACCGTGACAATGTCCTCTGGATTGCATCAAAAAGTGTAACTATTGAAAACTCTCTTTCTGTTAACAACTTCGAATTTATGGACTCGGCTATGTTCATGGTCATGACATCAAACCTTCTTCCAGGAAAGTAAACTCTACTCTATCGCTCGAAACCAACATCATGCTCAAGATACTTAGCAACTCTATCATCCTTGATTTAGATTTACTGGAAGTGCTCCTCGAACTCATCAATCCGATAAGCTTTTGCTGCCATATAGTATGTCTGAAGGAGGCCAACACACTTAAACTTTTGTTTTAGGTTCTCACTAAGGTGCCTCATACAGAATTTGTGATGTGCTTGATGATAAATAGTGGCAATCCCCTTCCTTATATAGTTGTGCCTATCGGATATTATGCATAACTCGTCACTGTCAGGCACTATCGTATGTAATTGCTGAAAAAACCAAGTCCATGACTTGTCATTCTCAGAGTCAACCACACACCATGTAACAGGATATGTGTGATTCTCTTTGTCCTATGCAGTGGCCACCAACAATGTACATCTATACTTTCCTGTCAAAAAGCAACCATCAACAGCCAACACCTTTCTCATTTTTACAAAACCCCTTATAGCAGAACCGTAAGCAACAAAAAAATATTTAAACATCATATTCCTGTCCCACTTCAAAGCCGTCTTGCTACCTTGGTTTGTCAACTCAAGCATATAACAGTATGCTTCTAATACTACGTACCCGTGCTCCGGCGTGCCCCTCACAAAATCTTGTGCATGTTGTCTCCCTTTCCAGCATTTCCAGTAACTAACAGCACATCCCAACTCTGTGCACACAAGTCTCTGAATTTCTTTAGGAGATGGACCTTTCCCTTCAACGAACTGACTTTTGATAAATTGTCCAATAACATCAGCGGATGCTTGTCGATGCTCACCTGAAATATGTCCCAAACCACATGTGTGCTCACGGGTATATGTGCTAAGAATAAATTTTTCCGACTCCGCCAACCTTCTACAATAAACCCGCCACTTGCATTTTCGGTCACTATATGCAACCTTCACATCTAATGAATTTGACTTTTTGGTGATGAATTCAAAATTACCTTTCATTGTAACAAGTTTTAGCTTCCTCACCACTTCCTCTTTGTTGTCAAATAAATACCCTATGCGTAACTCTGATCCATCCGTAAAAAGATGAGCTAATTCACTACTACCTGTAATTGTCCCCTCTGAACCTGCATAAACGATCATAGTATTCTCTTCTTCATAAACTATACCTTTTGTATAATCTGTATTTAAAGGAATCTCTATATCTGTGGGAATATATGATTAGAGGAAAGCTGAAGAATCGGAAGAGCTTTAAAAATTAAAATAAAAGAAATGAAAGAGCAAAGAACAACAAAGAGAGTTGGAGAAAGAAGTTGTTGAAGCTTTCTAACTCTACTGTACTCTTCTTCCTTCATGCAAACTTAAGGTGGAAGAGATTAAAAATAAATAATTTAATTTAATAAATAAAAAAGATGTACTTATATTGCATTTAATGAACTTTTATTGAAAATAAAAAACAAATATTAAATGTTCTTGAAAAAGATGAAGAGTGTACTGTATTGTATTTAATAAAAAACAAATAAAAAGTTGTTTGTTGGTGGACACGTTTTGATTATATGAAAGGTTAGGGATTCATGACCTAATGAGATAGGATCAAGAAGATGATGGTACTGGTCTGATCCACCGGTCAAATCGGTTTAACTGATTATTCCGGGTCTCAGTCACTTACCTGAGTCACTGACCTGATCCATTTTTAAAATATTTAAGCTTCCTTTGGTTGCATTTTGAGAATATTACTTCTGAAGTTTCTAAAAGAGTTAAACAATAAAATATCAAAAAATTTATAATATTATTTAATTTTTTTTAAATTCCTTAAATTTATTAATTTAATTAAATATTTTTTTAAAAATTATACAAATACCCTAATAATTCATATTTACCAGATTTCGACCATTATTATCAAAAAATTGTCAAAATCTGGTAGGATGACGTACTATCAGCTGAATCTGATCGACAGTATACCGATCTAGTCTTTTTTGGTCAGATCTACGGTGGATCTGATCAGAAAATACCAGATCTAAGGCCAAAGATCTGGCCGTTGACGACTAAATCTTTGGCCGTAACCAATCGGTAACGACGGCCAACAAACGGTCGCCATCAACGACGACCGTTTGTTGGCCGTCATTGACCTGCAAATACGGCCAGATCTAGCCGTAGATCTGGCCTTTGTCGGTCAGATCCACCATAGATCTGGTCAGAAAATGTTATATCGACGCACGACCGGTAAGATCCAGCCGGTCATGCGTCGATACGGCGACTCTAGCCACCCTCCGGTAGTGGTGGCCGGCTGTCCGTATTTGAGAGTGGGTTAGGGGTATTTTTGTTAATTTTTAATGTTTTATTATAAGGGGTATTTTATAAAAAAATAAACATAGAGGGTATTTTAAATTTATAGATCCTACATCGTAATACCTGTCCAATTCAATTTTTTTTAAATTTTTTTAAAATACAAAATTGTGAACTAAACAGAGCCTTATATATATATATATATATATATATATGTGTGTGTGTGTGTGGAAAGATATAGTGGCTGCACTACAAAAATGTCTTCACCGTTATGATTATTATACTAAGTACTAACCATTAAATTTCACGATTTATTAACATTTTTCTTTAACATTTCCCACTAAAGCATTTCACACTATGGTCAACGTATCGATTTTGTTAAGACAGATAATTTCGTAATGATCAAAATAGCGTCGATAAACATTATTACCTATTCACTCCACACTCATCAGCCACGTTTGACAAACTTGAAACCAACTCCCGCGTGAATGAAATTAGTCCAATGTTTAAATGAGTAAAGCCTGGTGGAATACCCACTTGCGAGACGTGTACGATGATTTTAGGATATATATAGGAATTGAAGCATATAATTGATGCTAGTATGTGGACCCTGATGCAAAGATGTTCTCTAAGGAGTTTATAGAGCGGAGGTAAGAGGTGCTGTCAATTCGCTATTCCTCTTGTTTATAGGCGTGTCTCTTTCCATTACAGCTTTCCCTGTACTGGCTCGCATTCTAGCTGACCTCAAACTCCTAACAACCCAAGTTGGTCAGATCGCCGTGGCCGCTGCCGCTTTTAATGACGTTGCTGCATGGGTCCTTTTAGCTCTAGCTGTAGCCCTCGCAGGTAACGAATCGGGTCATGAGACCCAAAAAAGCTCATTAGTATCTATATGGGTTCTCATTTCAGGTGTTGCATTTGTTGCTTTCATGTTTATTGCTGTCCGTCCAATTATGAACTGGGTTGCACGCCAGTGCTCATGCGAACACGACGTCGTTGATGAAGTTTATGTTTGTTTAACCTTAGCTGGCGTTATGTCATCAGGATTTCTCACTGACCTTATCGGAATTCATGCCATTTTTGGTGCTTTTGTGTTTGATTTAACGATTCTAAAAGGAAGTGAATTTTCGGCGAGATTGATGACGAAGATTCAGGATTTTGTGTCGGGATTGCTGCTGCCGCTTTACTTTGCGTCAAGTGGGTTAAAAACCGATGTGGCGAAGATACGAGGTGCGGAGGCGTGGGGGCTTTTGGTGTTGGTGATATCAGCAGCTTGTGCGGGAAAGATATTGGGAACTTTTGTGATGGCGACGATGTGCATGATTCCCGTTAGAGAATCCTTAGCGCTTGGTGTGCTGATGAACACAAAGGGGCTAGTAGAGCTGATTGTTCTCAACATTGGCAGGGAAAAGAAGGTGAGCCAAATTATAACCTCGTATTCATCATTTTTATTATTAATAAATACCATTACTTCTTTGTATAAAAAATATAAGAATATATTTCATCTTTCACATTTATATTGGATTTTTTAGTTTAATTTTTAAATTTGAAATTTGAAAAATATTATTAATTTTCAAACTAGTATATTGGTAATTTACATGCACAATATAAGAAGGTTTCAATTTAGAAGTAATACTAATACACTTACAAAAAAATCTTACAAAGATTTTCATACGAAGTGATATAAATGGAAGAGTGAAACAAAAAATCAAACTCATTATATTCACTATTTCATTTTTTTTTTACTATATCACTTTGTATTAAAATCTTTGTTAGATTCTTTATAAGAGTAATATTATCATTGTTCTAGAAAAATTCAAAAGCAATTTGAGCCGATCAATTATCCTACAAATAGAATAATTGTTGAATAGGTAAACTCATATGGTAAATGTAATTAAATTTAATTGCTTTAATTTGGATCTATTTTTTGAGGAGGGATTTTGACGCACACGTTTGAGGTACACGGTAAAATTATATAAAAACACAGTAAATTAAAAAAAATGCATTTTTAATGTGGCATAATTTATTTAACTGGGTTAATTAAAGAAATGATTTGTTTGATTAATTAAAAATTATTTGGACAACATATAATTTGTGGTAATGTGTTATGGTGTTGATCAACAGGTTCTTAATGATGAGATGTTCGCAATTTTGGTGTTCATGGCACTCGTTACTACTTTCATGACAACTCCAACTGTTATGGCTATTTACAAACCCCTCCGCCGTGTTACTACTCAAACTCGACGACAATTGGAGCGAAAATCAGCGAATGGCAAAAAAATCAGAAGACGGGTTTCGGATCATGGCTTGCATACACGGTCCTGAAAATGTTCCTTCACTCATCAATGTTATAGAGTTAATGAGGAACACCAAGTTATCCCGTCTCAAACTCTACGTCATGCACCTTGTAGAGCTCACGGATCGCTCGTCGTCGATTGCTATGGTTCAGAAAGCTCGAAAGAATAGCGTTCCTTTCATTAATAGAGTCCGTCGAGGCATGTCAAATGATCAAATAGTCGCTGCCTTTGAAACTTGTAGCCAACTGGGAAGAGCCATTATTCGCCATTCGACAGCCATTTCATCGTTGTCTTCAATGAATGAGGACATTTTCCATGTTGCGGAGGACAAGAGGGTGACGATGATCATCTTGCCCTTCCACAAACAGTGGAGAGGAGACGGCGCAGAGGCGATGGATAGCGTTTTACCCAGGTGGAGATAGGTCAACCGGAAGGTTTTACAGAATGCACCTTGCTCGGTGGCAGTGCTCGTCGACCGTGGATTTATTTACGAGTCTAAGACGGTGGGAGATTCCACCGCTTCCATGCCGAAAAGGGTATGCATTGTATTCGTCGGGGGCTCCGATGATCGGAAATCTTGGAACTAAGCGGGAGAATGGCAGAACAAGCAACATTTAAGCTGACTCTGGTAAGGTTCATTGAGAACGACAATGGCTTATCAAGCAACGAGATTAACTACGAGGGGGAAAAGGTAAAATTCTCCAACAAGAGTCAATGATTTTAAACAGTGATTATCTAGTGCGCTGAAATGCTATGAGCAGGGCCTGGATAAGGCCGTACTGGAGGGATTCAAGAGGAAGTTGAACGAGTCAGTGGAGTACCAAGACAAGATGATGAGCAACATTAAACAGGAACTGCTAACGATAGGGCAAAGTGGGGGTTACGACCTTGTATTGGTGGGGAAAGGAAGGTTCCCATCAAATATGGAGGCAAAAATTGCCGATAATCAGGCCGAGAACGTGGACCTGGGATCGATTGGAAACATTTTGGCTTCATCACGCTATTGCATTTTATCATCCGTACTAGTGATCCAATGCCAGCACAATGCCGAAGGAAATGAAACTAATGTCTCTAAAACGGTTTCTGACAAGATAATTCATGCAAGGAATATAGCTGAAGAATCCTGTGTGTGAGGATGATTAAGAAATTAATGTGCAGGTCTTTATAGCTCCACTATTCAGATGTACAAGTATGATTGGTGGGGAACCCGAAGTTCATTTCTTAGAAATCAGCTACACCACAGTGTTAAAACTCTCTTTTATTTTGTTAATAAATGTATCAAGCATCCAATGCAAATTGAAAATTTGACTCTCGATCTTTGCAGTTAGCTTTTTATGGTAAAAGAGTCGAAATGAGACGATTGAGCATTGCCATTCTTGGCATTGAAATCCCTATACTCAACTCCACTAGTCATAAGTATGTTAGATAGTTTTCCCATCTACACAATACAATGCATAGTAACATTAACAAAAGAATCCCCACATCCATTTTAGATCCAATTTGTTACANGCAGTTTATTATGATTGGGGAATTCAACAAATTGATATTAATAATGCGTTTCTCAATGAAAAGTTGACAGAAAAGGTTTTCATGGTTCCACTTGTTGGGTTTTCTGATTCCTCTCAATCACAGCAAGTTTGTCGTCTTCATAAGGCGCTATATGGCTTAAAACAAGCCCCAAGGGCATGGTTTGATAAGTTGAAAGGTGCCTTACTGACTTGGGGTTTTGTTAACTCTACCTCTGATGTAAGTTTGTTCTACTACAAACAGGATTCTCATGTGCTTTATTTGTTAGTTTATGTGGACGATATATTGATAACAGGGAATAATATTCATCTTATTGATCAAGTTGTGAAGGATCTTAATAATCAGTTTGCTCTTAAGACAATGGGAGCTGTACATTACTTTCTTGGGTTTGAGGTTCAAAGAAATCAGTCGGGTTTACTGCTTACTCAGAGTAAATATGCGCAGGAACTGTTAGAAAAGGCTCGAATGGAAGATTCTAAGCCATGTATCACACCGATGGCCACAAATTCCAAATTAGTGAGAGATGCTGGAAATTTGTTTGACAATCCTACACTGTTAGAAGCATAATTGGTGGTCTTCAGTACCTAACTCTATCCCGACCAGATTTGGCTTTTACGGTTAACAAATTAAGCCAATTTCTCCAAAATCCAACTGAAGCTCATTGGACTGCTTGTAAGAGGGTCTTACGATATATAAAAGGTACTCTGAATTATGGTCTTATCTTTAAGAGAAACAAAGAGTTTAATATTGAAGCATATGCTGATGCGGATTGGGCTAGTGATGTGAATGATAGGAGATCCACAAGTGGATATGCTGTTTTTCTTGCGGGTAATTTAGTTCAATGGAGTTCCCGGAAACAGAAAGTTGTCTCACTTTCGTCCACTGAAGCTGAATATAGGGCTTTAAGCCAAGCAGCCACTGAATTTGTATGGACTCAACATCTTTTCAAAGAACTTGGGATTGAAGTTAAAAATGTACCAGTTATATGGTGTGATAATATGAGTGCTGGTGCACTTTCCGCAAATCCTGTTTTTCACGCCAGAACTAAACACATCGAAATCGATGTTCATTACGTGAGAGAATTAGTAGCTCGAAAACAGCTGAATGTATAGTATGTAGCTTCAGAGTTTCAAAAAGCTGATGTTTTAACCAAATCTCTTCCTGGTAATCGTTTTGGTATGCTGCGCACTCAATTGAATGTTGTTTGTGATTTGCCAGAGTAATATAGAAGTGGTGAAGTGTAGATGGTTGAGAAAAATTTCCATCAACTGAATGTTGTTTGTGATCTGCCAAAATAATACTACTGCAGTGTTTTAGTTGCAATAGGTTGAGAAGATTGTTGTGCATTGTTACTGCTGAATAAAGCATTGCAGTGGTGGAAGTAGAGAATGTGATGCAGTGTAGATGGTTGAGAAAAATTTCCATCAACTGAATGTTGTTTGTGATATGCCGAAGTAATACTATGGCAGGTGTTAGTTGCAGTAGGTTGAAAGATTGTTTGTGCATTGTTACTACTGAATAAAGACTATGCAGTGGTGAAGCGTAGATGTTGAGAAAAATTTGTTGAGAGGTGAAGTGTAAATGTTGAGAAAAATTTGTTGAGAAGTTGTGTTTATAGAAGTGTTTTAGTTTGAGGGAAATATTGTGTTAATGTCAAGAGTAGTGTTACTGCAGTTATAGTACTTTGAGATGATTTGTTGAGAACTATTACTGCAGCAGTGGTGTGATGTTGTTGCAGAGAAATATTGGTCAGTTTTTGGTAGTTTCTGAGAGTTTTTTTTTTTTTTGGTTTGAGGGGAAATATTGTGATGAAGTGGTGAAGTAGAGAATGTGATGTAGTGGTGAAGTTGAACATTGTTACAGTAGCTTAGTTTGAGGGGTAATATTGTGATGAAATGGTGAATAGAGAATGTGATGCAGTGGTGAAGTTGACATTGTTACAGTAGTTTACTTGAAGGGAAATATTGTGATGAAGTGGTGAAGTAGCAGTAGTTACGTTTGAAGGTGAATATGTCATATAAAAGAGTCTCTGTTTTGCAGTTTAGTCTATGCTCTGCAGTTCTGTTTTGTTAATTCTGTAGAACCTGGGATGTAGTTGTAAGTCTGTAAAGATGTTTGGGTTATTTTGTAAATTCTGAAGAGTTGTGAACGGTGCGTTTCAGTGTACACCATGCTTATAAGTGTAACACGCGTACTTTCAAACAGTTAAGGAAAAACACCTTCACCAAAAGTAAAGTTTGTTGTAACAGCTCTCTGTTTTTCTCTGCATTTTGGTTCAGTTCTGCATTTTTCGTTTCAGTTCTTTAAGCTTTCTTCTTGATTTCTACATTCCGGGACTCAGCACTTGCCTGAGTCTGACTCTATCGATTTTTAAAACATTATATATGTATATATATGGAAAGATATAGTGGGTGCACTACAACAATGTCTTCACCGTTATGATTATTATACTACCATTAAATTTCACGATTTATTAACATTTTTAACATTCCCACTAAAGCATTTCACACTATGGTAACGTTACGATTTTGTAAGACAGATAATTTCGTAATGATCAAAATAGCGTCGATAAACATTATTACCTATTCACTCCACACTCATCAGCCACGTTTGACAAACTGGAAACCAACTCGCGTGAATGAAATTAGTCCAATGTTTAAATGAGTAAAGCCTGGTGGAATACCACTTGCGAGACGTGTACGATGATTTTAGGATATAGGAATTGAAGCAATATGATGCTGTATGTGGACCCTGATGCAAAGATGTTCTCTAAGGAGTTATAGAGCGGAGGAGAGGTGCTGTCAATTCGCTATTCCTGTTTATAGGCGTGTCTCTTTCCATTACAGCTTTCTGTACTGGCTCGCATTCTAGTGACCTCAAACTCCTAACAACCCAAGTTGGTCAGATCGCGTGGCCGCTGCGTTTAATGACGTTGCTGATGGGTCTTTAGCTCTAGCTGTAGCCCTCGCAGGTAACGAATCGGGTCATGAGACCCAAAAAAGCCATTAGTATCTATATGGGTTTCATTTCAGGTGTGGCATTTGTTGCTTTCATGTTTATTGCTGCCGTCCAATTATGAACTGGGTTGCACGCCAGTGCTCATGCGAACAGACAGTCGTGATGAAGTTTATGTTGTTTAACCTTAGCTGGCGTTATGTCATCAGGATTTCTCACTGACCTTATCGGAATTCAGCCATTTTTGGTGCTTTTGTGTTTGATTTAACGATTCTAAAAGGAAGTGAATTTTCGGCGAGATTGATGACGAGATTCAGGATTTTGTGTCGGGATTGCTGCTGCCGCTTTACTTTGCGTCAGTGGGTTAAAAACCGATGTGGCGAAGATACGAGGTGCGGAGGCGTGGGGCTTTTGGTGTTGGTGATATCAGCGCGTGTGCGGGAAAGATATTGGGAACTTTTGTGATGGCGACGATGTGCATGATTCCCGTTAGAGAATCCTTAGCGCTTGGTGTGATGAGAACACAAAGGGGCTAGTAGAGCTGATTGTTTCAACATTGGCAGGGAAAAGAAGGTGAGCCAAATTATAACCTCGTATTCATCATTTTATTATTAATAAAACCATTACTTCTTTGTATAAAAAATATAAGAATATATTTCCTCTTCAATTTATATTGGATTTTTTAGTTTAATTTTTAAATTTGAAATTTGAAAAATATATTAATTTTCAAACTAGTATATTGGTAATTACATGCACAATATAAGAAGGTTTCAATTTAGAAGTAATACTAATACACTTACAAAAAAATCTTACAAAGATTTTCATACGAAGTGATATAAATGGAAGAGTGAAACAAAAAATCAAACTCATTATATTACTATTTCATTTTTTTTTACTATATCACTTTGTATTAAAATTTGTTAGATTCTTTATAAGGGTAATATTATCATTGTTCTAGAAAAATTCAAAGCAATTTGAGCCGATCAATTATCCTACAAATAGAATAATTGTTGAATAGGAAACTCATATGGTAAATGTAATTAAATTTAATTGCTTTAATTTGGATCTATTTTTTGAGGAGGGATTTTGACGCACACAGTTTGAGGTACACGGTAAAATTATATAAAAACACAGTAATTAAAAAAAATGCATTTTAATGTGGCATAATTTATTTACTGGGTTAATTAAAGAATGATTTGTTTGATTAATTAAAATTATTTGGACAACATATAATTTGTGGTAGGTTATGGTGTTGATCAACAGTCTTAATGATGAGATGTTCGCAATTTTGGTGTTCATGGCACTCGTTACTACTTTCATGACAACTCCAACTGTTATGGCTATTTACAACCCTCCGCCGTGTTACTACTCAAACTCGACGACAATTGGAGCGAAAATCAGCGAATGGCAAAAAAATCAGAAGACGGGTTTCGGATCATGGCTTGCATACACGGTCCTGAAAATGTTCCTTCACTCATCAATGTTATAGAGTTAATGAGGAACACAAGATATCCCGTCTAAACTCTACGTCATGCACCTTGTAGAGCTCCGCGATCGTGTCGTCGATTGCTATGGTTCAGAAAGCTCGAAAGAATAGCGTTCCTTTATTAATAGAGTCCGTCGAGGCATGTCAAATGATCAAATAGTCGCTGCCTTTGAAACTTGTAGCCAACTGGGAAGAGCCATTATTCGCCATTCGACAGCCATTCACGTGTCTTCAATGAATGAGGACATTTTCCATGTTGCGGAGGACAAGAGGGTGACGATGATCATCTTGCCCTTCCACAAACAGTGGAGAGGAGACGGCGCCGAGGCGAGGATAGCGTTTACCCAGGTGGAGATAGGTCAACGGAAGGTTTTACAGAATGCACCTTGCTCGGTGGCAGTGCTCGTGACCGTGGATTTATTTACGAGTCTAAGACGGTGGGAGATTCCACCGCTTCCATGCCGAAAAGGGTAGCATTGTATTCGTCGGGGGCTCCGATGATCGGAAATCTTGGAACTAAGCGGGAGAATGGCAGAACAAGACACATTTAAGCTGACTCTGGTAAGGTTCATTGAGAAAGACAATGGTTATCAAGCAACGAGATTAACTACGAGGGGGAAAAGGTAAATTCTCCAACAAGAGTCAATGATTTTAAACAGTGATTATCTAGTGCGCTCTAAATGCTATGAGCAGGGCTGGATAAGGCCGTACTGGAGGGATTCAAGAGGAAGTTGAACGGTCAGTGAGTACCAAGACAAGATGAGAGCAACATTAAACAGGAACTGCTAACGATAGGGCAAAGTGGGGGTTACGACCTTGTATTGGTGGGGAAAGGAAGGTTCCCATCAAATATGGAGGCAAAAATTGCCGATAATCAGCAGAACGTGGACCTGGGATCGATTGGAACATTTTGGTTCATCACGCTATTGCATTTATCATCCGTACTAGTGATCCAATGCCAGCACAATGCCGAAGGAAATGAAACTAAGTCTCTAAAACGGTTTCTGACAAGATAATCATGCAAGGATATAGCTGAAGAATCTGTGTGTGAGGATGATTAAGAAATTAATGTGCAGGTCTTTATAGCTCCACTATTCAGATGTACAAGTATGATTGGTGGGGAACCCGAAGTTCATTTCTTAGAAATCAGCTACACCACAGTGTTAAAACTCTCTTATTTTGTTAATAAATGTATCAAGCACCAATGCAAATTGAAAATTTGACTCTCGACTTTGCAGTTAGCTTTTATGGTAAAAGAGGTCGAAATGAGACGATTGAGCATTGCCATCTTGGCATTGAAATCCCTATACTCAACTCCACTAGTCATAAGTATGTTATGATAGTTTCCTCTACCAATACAATGCATAGTAACATTAACAAAAGAATCCCCACATCCATTTTAGATCCAATTTGTTACAGACAACATTCTTATCAGCTGTACTCCGGAAGAAATTGTCATAAATAAATACCATCTTTCACATCATCCTACCCTGACTGCCTGCAATTTTCCTATCTAATTACCACTTATGCATAAAAGGCTTTGCCAAAATATATCACATAAAAAGCGAAGCCCATGTTATGAGAATCCTTAACATTAACCACAAACTTAAAGCAAATAGAAAATAATGAGTTTTTTAAAACATACTAAAGCTTTCGTTAATGTAAAAGGTA